TCGTTGCGTTTTTCTTTTATTTTGTAAAATCGTTTTCACGTGTATGAAAATGTGGGGCAAATTTAAACACAAAAGAAAAATATTATAATAATAATAACAAGAATTTGAATAACAATTAAAATTATTGACACTCGCATTGTTTATAAGTATTTGTACATATATATAGCACACTTTAGTTACATAATATTATGAATTTACGGGATTGGATTTTAAAAGGAATATAAATGGATACATGGAATGAGAATTTAAAATAGAACGTTAATATAAAAATCATGTTATGACGACCACCCATGGTCTAGTTCTGAATGTTACACAATTGATAAAAACTGAACGTACATTTATTCGTCATGCATTTTTTCAATAAAGTAATCAATAAGTAACAATGACATAAAGTGATAACTGTGCATGTATTGACATATTTCCAGCGACATAACCTAAAATTTTGTTGTGTTAATGGATTTTAAAAATAAATTTATTTTAAATTTTCAATTGCTCTCAATTTTTATTTAAATGCATTTTCAATAATAAAATATAAAATAAAAATTTAACTGTGGTATTGCTTTTTGATTTCTGTACTTTAATCTATTTTCATTAATTAATATTAATAGTGTTGTATGAAACTAAAATAATCGCATTTGGTCAAATATTTTGCTTGATAATTGTTCAAAGCTTTCTTACATTCACGTTATTTTGACATTTAAATTGGTGTAATTATTAAAAATAATTAACTTTAATTAATTCTTTAATAAATTTACTTCTAAATTATTTAAATTACCGAATACTTTACGAGATTTTTACGATTTAATCAAAAATTTTATAAAATACAATTATTATTTTTTGATATCTAATGAAATTTTTTATTGAGTGTTACCGTTTTACCGTATTTTTAATTTTTATTATCAAAATTTCGGTATAATTCAAAAATATCAATGTAAATCAAAATCGGCAATATTTGGTTTTCAAAAATGACGTAAATAAAAGTTACACTTTATATTTTTGACATTAGATTTTTTCGTCTCTTTTTTTGTGTTTCTTGTTCTTTAATTTTTTGTTTACGTTTAGAAATTAAAAAATAAGAAAAAAATTAATATTTTTAAAACAAGTTTTCTAATATCAACACTTTCATTGAATTTACTCATTATTTGCTAAAATAGAATAAAAAAAAACATTAAAAAAAAAATCATTAAAAACCGCTTTCAGTACGTGTCGAACAGAGCATTTGAATTCGTTTTAATTTAAGAAATTTATGTCATCTTCTCTTTCGTTTGGAATTTTATAGAGTTCATTAATGCCATAAATTTTAACTTATTATTCTAAGCAAATATAATTGGTAATTTAAAAGTGTGCAACTTTGTATTGTGCTCATGAATTGTGTGGATTTGTGCACTGTTAAATTACAATTAATTCATATTTGAAAAATTTTCTCTATGTTACTAATTACATATTAGCAATCATTATTAATATTTTATTTTAGTTATTATCTTAAATTCAATCAATTTTCTTTTTTGAAGTTTGATTTCATACACGTGATATTGAAGTATTTTTGAAAAAACGCGATTATTTTTCTGAAGTTTTTTAAAACGGTTGAAGTTAAATGTGTTCATAATTAAATGTGATAATTTATAAGTGATGATACAATATTCAACTCTACCTTATTTTACTCTGCCCGTTTTCAGTTTGCTGGCAAGAGAAAGTAGTTTTTCCATTCAGAATAGGTTTTAAGTTTTGTTAAATTTATTTGATGTGTTCTGTGTAATTAAAATCAGTATTAATATTAGAAAATTTTTTGTTCATCTTGTTGATATTTTGAACACTAAAATTTAAAAGTGATGGTGTGGAAACATCACAAAATCTACTTAAAGAACTTCTATATAATTTTAAACTAAAATTAAATAAAAGTACACGTGATATTCTATATCAGTAATGATAAAACTTTCACTGTTAGTGCACTTAAGATTTAAATTAAGAAAATGTGACACTTTTGCATTTATACCTTCTATTATTATTACTTATCGTCGGTTAAAAAGCAGAAAGCATTAAGTCAGGAAACTGTGTTTTGAGTAAAGTCAATTTGAAAAAATCGTGAAATTGTAAAACTAATCAATTAGTGCAATGGGATTGGTCTCTTTAATTTCTGGATTTATAAACTACATTCTGGATTTGCATGATTTTTTGCCACAACAAAGATTATATTACTCTGATTTAATTCATCTATGAAATCCGAATTCTCAAAAAATGCACTTAGTGCTTTCTGATTTTTAACCGGTGTGAATGAAGGTGAACTATAGTTTTTGTAATTCTACAAGTTTCGAGTAAATCATTTCAAAACTTCTGTTTATGCTATAAACCCATTTTCGTAAAAATTGTAAATGATACCTTAATTCACTCGTATCTTCAACTGTTATATGCTTTACTAATTTGCATAACTGGTGGTTGTGTGTATGTCATGGGTTTTTCTTATATGATTTTGTGTTATAGAAATTGGAAATAATTTCAATATTATAATCAAATTATTTTTTTAAAAATATCATCTATATGCAAATTAAATGAATTTATTGGAAATTTGGTGTTTGTTACAAAGAATTTAAGTTTTTCAAATATAATTTCGCATTTGACATTGCAATCTCGAAAAAATTAATCGTAGAACGAAAATACAAAATACTCAACACCATTCCTATTTGAGTACTTATTGAAAGTAGTTTAATGTGCTACATTATATAATAACATGGGCTGAATATATAATTTTAAAGGGAACACATAGATTGTTGTTTTTATATTTGTTATTCTCTTCAACTCTAAATATTGTATAACAGTCACAACACGTCATACAATAATTTTAAATATTTCAGTGTTATTGTAAATAGTGTGCAAAATTTTAATTTAAATTTTAAATCAATATTAATTTATTTAGTAAGACAATTAATTTACATTAAAACTTTTTTCATTAATAATTTATTTCTAAAGTTTAGTAATTCAATTCTTATTTAATTAATCGATTAAAATGATTTATGAAAGTTCTTTGCTCATACTCTACCAAATTATAACTCGTTGATATTAAATTGACCCTTTTTATGAAAATTAAATTCAAATAGAAAAAGTAATTTTGTCCCTATCAAACTTAATGCTTTTGAAAATCTACAAAAACTTTTTTCATTAGAAATTCATCAAAAATACTATTATTTTCTCTTTCTTTTATATTACATTTGAAGTTTTTAATGTATATAATAAAGTTTTGCTTTATCCATGTGAGAAACGAATAAATCACGTGATTTTTATAAATTTGTAATTACATAAATAAATAATATAAATTTGGTTTTCAATTGTTTTTTTATGTGAAATGTAGTAAATGTGTAATGGAATGTGCAAGGACAATAATAACAGTAAGCAATAAAAAAGTAAATAAATAATAATTTTTTTAATATAATGTACATGAACGTAACAATTTACGTTCAACCAGACGAGAGTGTGTGTCAATGTCAGTAACAAAATGTAAGTTGATTTTTTCACTTAATATTGCTTGGAACAGTGTTGTCAATGTCAAATCTATGCAGTTGTTTTTGATATTTCACTATAAAAGGATTCGTAGTCGTAATGCTACCAAATCACCAATAATTAATAATATTGTTAATTAAGTTAGCTAATTGCTTGGTAAGTAATTAATTTGAAATTTATGACTTGCAAATAAGTTGCTTACCTCATACGATTTGACACTTCTAGATTTCATTTTTTGAGGGTGCGTGGGTTTTTGTAACAGCTATGTTAACTTGTAATTAGTGATATTTTGGAATTTCAAAACTAGCCAAAACGTATAATTGTGCCAAATATTTACATGAAATTAAATTTTGAAAGTAAGAATGGCATTAGTTATTTGTTGATCTAAATTAAATATTTTCACTATTTTCATCATTAAAAAGCCACCCGTTATTCTCTATGCATGTATGGTCTACATATTTATTGGAGTTTTTTCGGTATATGCACAAATATTTGAATTTGACTTTTTGTTTTTTTTTAGTTCACAAGGTTATTTCTGATATCTACATATAAAATATTCAAAAACAAGAAAAAAATGAAAAGGACGTCATGTAGATTTATATGGAATATAAAATTACTATAACTGTTAAGAATATTCACTATACTCGTATTAATGTTATTTTGCTTTATATTTTATTTTACATAAAAAAATATTATTTATTTTATTTTCTTATATACATTCTATGTACTTTTTATATCCATTTAATAATTTATTAGATTGTGTGCACACGCAGTGAAAATTGTCCATTTTAATATTTCTGAAAAAAGAAAAAAAAATCTTTAATAAAATAAAAATTAATCAAAGTTTGACTTTCTTATTAAATTGATTCGATTTATATGAAAATTAATAAGCAATACAATTTATATTAAAGTACATGAGATTTTTACAGAAAATTATTAAATTGTGAATTAAATTGTGAATTTTCGAATAAAAGTAGCAATTAATGGCATTGAATTTAATATAGGCGAATTCATTTGTAAACTGTCTTAGGTTGTTATTGGAAAATGTTGTTAAAAAGATTATATAAATTCCATGAAATCAATTTTCGTTGTTAGTTCTATAATTACAAGCAAAAACTGACTAATTATGTCTTAATAAAATTTTATATACAAATTAGACATTTTCATGTGCTTCCTATGAGTTGTTAAAAAATATTATAATAACATGGATGTCAACAACAACCACTGTTACCTTATAATTATTATTTAACTCATGTTCCCTGTATTAATCAAGTATTAATATTGTCAGACAATAGTAATATATAAAAACTTTTGAAAATTATATTGTAAATATTATTTTGTGATTAAATTAAAATGAAAAGGACAAATTAGGAAAGGAAGTCCCTTGACAAAATGTATAATGGTTTAAGCAAATCTGACATATGAATATAATTTTAAGCAGTTTATTTTACAATAAAATTTTCAAATTATTAAATAAAATAATAATTAATTTCTAATTTTCTTTTCAGGAATGTTAAAGAGAGGGCAAAATCATCAATTATTATCAATTACAATATTTTTATCGTATATGTTGGACATCATTTATTAATTTCTATACATTCAATTAAATCATTTTTTTAAGTATTAAAATTATTAAGATTTTTCAAATAGTAAATGCACATTAACACGTTTCGGATTTAAAAAAAAAAAAACTATAAAGGAATTAGAATTCTTCATACAGGTATGTTAAAAAATTTTGTTACAATTTAGAACATTTTTGTACTCAGTAAGATTTAAATTTGAATAATTCTAATTTTTATTTAGTGTTAAGTTAAGTGATTTTAATGTCAACATTTTTTTTTAAATTTCTATAAAATGCATTTAATTAATGTATGAGACATCAGTTAAATGACGCCATCATGATTTTGAAACTATGAACATTAAGAAATAAAATTTATTTCGAATTTTTTTTTTCTTTTTTGAATAGTGCACAGTATTCCTTACAGTAAAAGCATTATTGAATTAATAATCTCATTGGCTGGTTTGCACTATCCCCTTTTGAGATTTCAAAGAGAATGGGTGCCATTTTGTTGTCACTCCTCATATAATAAGGGTTAATTAAAACTTATTTCGAATGAATCAATAATTTATTTTTTATATTAATTTTAATTTCAAAATTTATGTTGATCAGCTCTATATTCAAATTTTATGTAACATAAATGTATGTAGATTAGGACTTGATTACCACAGTTGTTGTATTTAAATTTTAAGTTTGAAACTGTTTTTCAAATTTTACATAGCAATTATACGAGTCCAAAACATACCTTGAATTGATCATTGTAAATTTTCTGGATCGATAATTTTATTTAAACCACGTAAACATAAATAGAAACCAAAAAAATCCTTAAAAATATAACAAAAGTTTTTATATACACTTAGTCAGTATATAAAAATCTAAATTTAAAAATAAATAAAATCTTAAGAAATTTAAAACTTTATTTTGTAATAAAAAGATGTTTTTTTTCTATTCTTTTTAATTAGTTCATTTAAAAAACATCATTTTTTTTTTAAATACTCGTAGTTATAGAACGGAAAATCTTCAGTTAAAGGATAATAAATCTGGGCACATAAAAGTTTATATTTTGCTTATTGAATTTCATTTCAAATGCTTACCAATATATAGGGAAAATATTTTTCCTTCAAGTTTAAATTTAATATTTTGTCTATTGCATTTTAAAGTTTTTATATTTTTTTTTCTTTTTAAATTAATGAAGATATTTTTAAAATTGTTTTCCAAGAAAAATAATTTCTTCTTCTCTTTAATTTTATTCCAAGCAAAATTTTCATTTTATTTGAAACTTTTCTCATATAAAAAAAGATTCTTTTCTAAGAAATTAAAAAGGAAAAAAAATAAAAAAAAAAAACAATTTTTTTTTCTCAATTAATTTTATAATTTTCTAAAATAATTGAAAGAAAAATTTTATTCGATATTATGTAAAAGAAGGCAGAATGTATAAAAATATTTGTTGAGATGTTAAGGATTTTTTGGTAGGAGTCCCATTGAGAATTAAAATTTACTTGTTAAAATTTAAATTTAAAACTTAAATTTTCGGGATAGATTTGTGTTTTTGGGCCAAAGCAACAGATTAGCAAAGCCCTCTTATCGAATAAAGAAAAATGTTGAATAATGTCTTAAAGTCGAACTATTCCATTATTTTTTCTCTAGGGACACATGAAATCACTCACTAATGTATTGTTACAGAAACTAGCTAATTACTTAATACCTTGGAAACAAGTTTTGTGACAAGTTTTTTTAGCGACATACGGCAAAAAATACTCCAAAAACGATTAATTTCGGTGATATTCCCGAAAAAATGATTAAACGCTACATTTTTGTTTAATTTGTTCATTATGTTAATCCTCAGAAAGAGCTTAAAAGTTGTATGTTAATGCCTTGTGTCGATTTGTTGGCGATCAAAAAATTTTAATAAAATGTGATTTTTGTCTTATTTTACAATTTTGGTTTTCTATCAGGCTTCAAAATCACCACATATTTCTAAATTAATCTTCGCACTCATATATCACAGTTAAGGATCAATTGTTGTTTTTATAATAATTGTTGTTTTTATAATTTAGAAATTTGACACAATAATAACGGTTGCCATGAATATTTTCTTTATTTTTAGCATAATAAATTTTCCATATTTTTTATTTAACTGTAATTTTTTTTTATAATTCTCATAACTACTTAAAATTAATGAAATATTTCACGGTTATTTTTGGAATGTATAAACATGTTTATATGAATAAGATAACAGTATAATACTTTGGGCAAATATTTAATTTTTTATTTATTTAGAATTGATGCTGAATTTTTTTTTTAAATTTAATTAAAAGAATGTAAAAATAAAAAATTAGGGCAATTTTTTTTGTATAATTCTTTGCATTAAACTTTTTATATTTGAAATATTTTATTTATTTATGTATGTGCATTTGTGTGTGTTTAAATACAACAAGTGTTTATAAAAGTGATGATTTATTATGATTTTTGTCATCAGTTATAAAAACTTTGTTTTTTTTTTGACTACTTGAAAACATTATGCACATTATAAAAATTTAAATCTTGTGTTTATTTCAGCACCTACGAATTAAATGTAAAAAAAGTCTCAGATAAAGCATTTAAATATGCAAATATTCCTGTTATCTCTCCTATTTATATTGTAACAGTTAAATTTGATTTAAAAGTGAAAGAAGTTAAACTGGTTTTTTTTTTATTACTGTTTGTTTTTTATTTTTACTGTTAGATTTTATTTTTACTGTTATGTAAAGAATGATGATGATTTACGTTTTTCAAATTTTTTATTTTAAGTCTTAAATAAAAATGATTTATTAACGGAAAATTGTGAAAATTGTGCCAAATACGAGAAGAGAGAAGCAAATAAAGAGAACAAAAAGTAGAGTACTATGACTTTGAAAATATTTTTTTTGCAAATCAGTTAACCTTAAGATATTGGTGCGAATCACAAACCTTCTTGAATGCCATTTTGAATGTTCATTGCGGTTAAGAGCGCGGAATTATTAAAGTAAGCATAGCAGTTCTAAAATTAAATGACTAACTTTTCCTTGATATACGGTCATTAGTTCGCGGTATTGGTGCATGGACACTAGCTAAGCTATTTTTTAAATTACTTAGAAATACTTCAGAGTACTTAAATTACTTAGATTATTTCGTATAATTAAAACACAGTTTTGTGAAAAATTTTAAGAATAGTTCTAGATTGACGAGAGAATTCCTATACCAGACATCAATCTGCACCACGAGTCAGTTTAAAATGAAAAAAAATGCGGTCCAGTTATATAATTTTAATATTTGAAATGGAATGGAAATTTTATAATATCCTTTCTTTCGGATTACTGTTTTGTGCTCATAAATAAAATTTCACAATATTCTAAATGAAAGAAAAAAATTGTGTTTTAAACTTCGAAACTGCTTTTGAGTGATGACAAAATTGTAAACAGTTTGTGAGAATATTTTTTTTTTTTCGTTTTCTTTATCAAACAAATGTTTACTTTTTTAATAAATATTTCCTGGCATATTTAACTTTGATAGTAACTAGTTTATACAACATTTTTCATTTGATTAAATAAAAGGTTTCTAAAAATAAGTTTATTTGAATTCTAAAAAAACTATAAAAATTAGGGCGGTGTATTAAGAATTTCAAGCAAAGGTTTATATTTTTTTTTTAATTTTTATTAGAACATGAAAATCTAAAACTCAATTAATATTATGTCGTTAAGTCGCAAATTTTCGGCATTTTAATTTTTCTAAAAAATTCTTTTGGTTTAAGTTCAATAAGGAGAGTATAAGAATTCTTCAATAAGAAGAATGTTTTAAAATGTAAGTTTTATTTTGTAGTTTAAATTGTCTGTGGTTTGATTTCAAACCCCGAAAATGAAATGACAATAAATTTAAGTCGATGTTGGTCAAATTCATGGAAGTGAAAATATTTAAATTTAAAAATTAAATTTTAAATATTTTTCATAAAAAAGACAATTTTAAGGAAACAAAAGTTTTACGTCTTTACATTCCAAATTATAACACGTATATAACAAGTGTTTCACTTTACACAAAAAAAAACTAATTATGAAAATAGTTGGCGGATAAAATATAAAGTGTTATACGAGTACGCTTGTCATGTTTATATACTTATACGTTTGTCATGTGTATTTTGTGTTACTTTGTTATTATTGTGTTCGCACCATCTATGACATATATGTATATGACAATTTTGTCAAAATGCCAAATTTCAAGGTCAAATAATTCTAATTTGTTTCCATAATTAATATTATATTTTTTTTTTGTTTTTAATTTCATTTTACAATAGTATTAGTATCGAAATTTTACTCATATAAACAAAATGTATATGAATATATGCATATATACTACATACACACTCTTCTGAATAAATGTGAGTACATGATGTGTACATTATGTCACATGACGTCTTTTAATGTTCCTTATGACATTAATTAAAACAAAAAAATTATCTGATTTTATTTAATAAAGTGAAAATAAGAAACAAATCTCAGCGATTTTTGCCGATCAGCTCTAATGATTTTTTAATATTTCTTTAATTGACATTTTTTATTTTTATTTCTTTTTTAAACAAAAAAGTAATTACCTAATTGTATACTACAGTGAGAAAATAACCACATGTTAAGTACATACATACATAAAATTTTATAAAAATTTTTAAAATTCCTTAAAATAAATTTAATTGCAATCAAAATAAAATTATGGAATTTGTGACGGGGGGAAATTACAAAATCAAAAAACAAAACAGAAAAAATTTTAATGAAGAAATTCTACATGACGTAATTTTCTTTTTGGCCTATTTTTAAAAAAATAAAAATTTTGGCAAATAATGTGCTTTGAAACTCTATTTATCCTTCTTTTCGTCTGTTGGCGAAACGCCTGCATCCGCCAAACTGGAATGCTGAAAATATAATTAGATCACCCATAAGCAAATTACAGTCTTTTCTAGGAAAACATTTTTCCGTGTCACCTTTCAAATTCAAATTATACTGTCCTTAAAAGTTCGTAAAATTTGTAACTTTTTGCAAAAAGGGGTTGGAACCGAAGATAATTTGTAAATTTTTGAAAATTAGAAATGCAAAGATGAAAGATGAAGAAAACCTGAAATTTTAACATTTTATGAATATTAATAAATATTTAATTTA